TTACCCAGCAACCACATTAAGTTCAAGCCTGAAATACCTCCAGCGAAGTAGGAGGCACTGTCTATGGCTCTATGGCGCTAACTGGTAAGTTTCATTGGTCACTGGCAAGGCAAACCCAGGCAGCCTTGGCAACTCACCCAGGAATGATTTACAGTCACTCAAACATATTCCACACCCCCTCATCCTGCTCATCACCCACCTTCCTCTTTGCTCAAATACCACTGATCTCCCTAGCAAGATCTAAGGAGGTAGGCAGTTCCAGTCCAGGACGGTATTGGGCCAGCTATCTATACTCTCTTTTATTCCGCTCACATCTCTTCTTAAATCTCACCTCTTCCCAGAGGCCTCGAAGCTCTCTGTGTAATGGCCGAATCCCTGCAGGTTACCCAGGACCCAGGAATACAGTGTGCACTTATTTATTGTTCTACTCATGTCTGCCCTCGCCTATAAGCTGCTTAAGAAAATTTTGTCAGTATTCCCAGTGCCTACTCATCACCTTTTCGGTGAGTTGAATCAATTATGTGGAGAATAGTCATTCCTTGCCAAGGTTCAAGCTCGGTCCCTAAAGCTCCCTGCATAGCTCAGACCTTCATATATTTACCGATCTCCCCCTCCCGGGGGCCTGGCGCTCCTCCCAGCTTTGGCCCAGATGAAGAGGGGAGTGGCGAGAGTAAGGATCCACGACGTTTTGCACTGAAACTGTGCGGGGGAGGCAATGGCGACAGCAGCCGAGACAACGGACTGATCTCAAATGCTCAGGCCTGAGAACCGACGTCTTAGGACGTGGAGGTCCGTGGGGCACTAGCCAGGGCCGTGGGCCGTGGAAGCTGGGACCTAACGCCGAGGCTCGGAGCCTACGGTCACAGAAGACACAAGCCAGGCTTCGAGCAGCCAGGAGTCCGGGATGCCCGGCTGAGGTCACTGGGAGCCGAGACTTGACGGATGCGACCCCGAAGCGAAGGGCCTGAGGCGCCATTTTGTGACCGCAGAGGGCAGTGACCGCGACGCCAAGGGAGGCGTGGGCGAGCCTGGCATGCCTCAGCCCGTCTTGACCCTCCCCGGCCCGGAGCGCGTCCTTCACCCTGCTGGGCCTACCTGTGTAGCTCATGACGGCAGCGAACACCCGAGCCGTGGACAGAGACCGCTGCTCCGCGCGTCTGACGCCACAACAATCTTTGGGGGCCCTTCCACACACGCCCAGCCCCACCTCCTGATCTCATTGGCTCGTGCCAGCCTCGGACTTCACGTCCATTGGGCCAGTTAGCTGTCTATTTCTATACTTCTTCGCAACAGTGGTTGGAGATACTGCCAACCCCTAATGGCCCCGCCCTACCACCGCCTCCTGTTACCCAAAGCCTGCGCTGATAGGCCAAATGGAGACGACGGGGAGGTAGAGTTCGAAGGGGCGGGGCTACGTGCAACCCAGAGGCCGGAGCCCACGCGTGGCGGGTGCCGGTGTCTGTTTGCTGGACTCCTGCCAGTGGTAGCGCAGGCAATTGTCCTAAGCTCCGCCACTGAAATGCTAGCCAAAGCCATTCATGTATTCCTTTGGCATTTGAAATGATAGCCAAACTCGTTCGTGTATTCCTCTGGCTTTTCAGTTCCAAAACTAGAATGGTAAAGCTACGCTGAAATGAGAAAATGAAGATCTAACTGCCAAACAAGGTCCTGACAAACATTACGTGAGATAATGTTTAAATAAATGAGCCTGGACACGTGTGGTAGGTGGCTCCTGTAATTCTAAGACACAGCAGCCTGAGGCATAAGAATGGCTTTGAGTTTGAGGTCAGATTATGCTGTATGAGTTCTTAGGCACTCCAGGTTACACTGAGACCCTGTCTCACGAGGTGAAAAACAGCTGGGGCCAGTTTCACGAAGTAAATATTATTTTCTCATTAATCATTACATAACAATCAATAGTATTTGTAAGGGTTGAGGATGTAGCTTGGTGGTAGAGAACGTTATCCTAGCATATATGGAAGGCATGTGTGAGATTCCAACACTGCAAAACAGGAAAAAAATGCATTTTAAAACAGAAAAAACCTGGTCATGGTGGCTTACACCTGTAATCTCAGCATTTGGGAGACTGAGCCTGAAAGGACACTGAGTATATGACTTTGTTTTAAAAATTAATAGTTGGACTTGGTGGCACCTGCTTTAATCCCAGCACCCAGTGGAAAGCAGATCTCTGTGAGTTCAGGCACAGCTTAGTTTACATAGCAAATTTATGGCTAGCCAGGGTCACCTATGTATAAAAAAATTATTTTTTAGATAAATGTTTGTGTATGGAATTTGTTATGCAAGCAATATATCTGATCGTATCACGCATTATTGCAAATCTTCACACATGAGAACCTGTGCTCAATGCTCAGTTCTACAAAACAAAAAGCGCAGCTCAGTACCAGCCTTGCTTTAAGCACCATGCCTGGCTGTGTGGGAAGTCATCATGAGACAGATCTCATAATTCCTGGGAGGGACACTGTAAATAAAACTTAGCATTTGGGAAACTGCATCAAGCTGTGCTTCTATCATTCATGCACCTTTTTGTGGTCTGGGGAAATTTTAAAGTAGGGTGTTGTATTAGTACTAAGTAATGGTTATCCGTTCATTTTTTTAGTTTTTTTTTTTTTTTTTTTGTTCTGTTTTGTTTTTCGAGACAGGGTTTCTCTGTGTAGCTTTGCGCCTTTCCTGGAACTCACTCTGTAGCCCAGGCTGGCCTTGAACTCACAGAAATCCACCTGCCTCTGCCTCCCGAGTGCTGGGATTAAAGGCATGCCACCGCCCGGCCATTTTTTTAGGTTTATGTATGTTTCGCTTGAATGTATATCTGTGCAGCCACACACATCCTTAATGCCTGAGGTGGTCAGAAGAGGGTGTTGGATACCCTGGGTTGGAGTTACTGGCTGTGAGCTGCCGTGTGGGTGCTGGGAACCAAACCCAAGTCCTCTGCAAGAGCACTATGTGCTCTTTGCCACTGAGCCATCTCTCAGTCCTTGTTACCAGTTTCTTTAGGGGTAATAATAATGACATTCCTTAAAAGTCTACATCCTTTAAAGAAACGTAAATAGTTAATATGATAGCCCCCAAAATGGGCTTCTCCATAATTTAGACGGGGAGGGGGAGGTAGAGAAGTATAGTTGCTGTGATTAACAAGGGCTTATTTTCACCACTGATCCAGGTAAAAATGTCGGGATAACACTCCCTCCCCAAACATACTTGTGCAGACCTTGTTGCACCATGCAGGAGCCACTTGCAGTGCACTCTGTGCATCTAATTCAGAACACGCAACAGAGGTCTGCTTTGTGTGCACTACTGCTTTGGGGTGCTGCTGTCTGACATCCAGATAAAGTAGGGCCCCATGATTATCTCCTCTAGATACTGTAGTTCCATTGTGGCATTTGCCACAGCAGTCATTTCACCCAAGGTTTTAATTTCTGATGTCCTCATGGGTTGAGCTCAAGCCAGTCAAAGGTTAAGGCTACTTCATTTGAGACCACAGAGTTGTTTATGCAGAGATCTGTTAGGCTCAGGAGTTTTAGGAAAAGACCCCTGTTGTAAGAATGGTAGGTGACCCTTGTAGAGGCTTCCCAGGGCTGGAGAGATGGCTTACTGGTTAAGAGCACTGACTGCTCTTCCAGAGCGACCCTGGTTCAATTCCCAGCACCCACATGGCAGCTCACAACTGTCTGTAACTCCAGTTCCTGAGACCCAACACCCATGGCAAAACACCAATGTACGTGAAATAAAAATAAATACATTTAAAATATTAAAAAAAAATCTTTCCCTGTTAACTGTGTGCAAAGACACAGCCATCAGTGAGTAGCAAGGCCTTCCCATGTTACTGTCATTGGATCTTTCAAAATCCACTCTAATGCTAGGCTGTGGTAGCCCACGCCTTTAATCCCAGCCCTAGGGAGGTAGAGGCAGGTGGATCTCTGTGAGTTCAAGGCCAGCCTAGTCTACAGGGCTAGTTCTAGGACAGCCAAGGCTACACAGAGAAACCCTGTTTAGAAAAACAAAATAAAAGATCTACTCTAGTGCTTTTATATATTAAAAATTGATTTTGGCCAGGTGGTAGTGGCATACGCCTTTAACCCCAGCACTCAGGAGGCAGAGGCAGGCAGATCACTGAGTTCAAGGCTAGTCTGGATTACAAAGTGAGTTCCAGGACAGCCAGGGCTGTTACACAGAGAAACCCTGTCTCAAAAAAACATAAACAAAAACAAACAAACAAAAAAGGAAAAAAAGAAAATTTTAAAAAGTTAAAACAAGGCAGGTGGTGGTGGTGGCGTATGCCTTTAATTCCACCATTCCAATCTGAGTTCAAAGCTGGCCTCGTCTACAGAGCTAGTTCCAGGACAGCCAGGGCCACACCCTGCCTTGAAAAAACAAATAAATGATTAAAACAAAACTCCTTTCCCCCTTGTTATCTGGGTTCTTGTCTCTTCTTGACATTTCCCTTGGATCTAGCAAGGTATAGCTCAGTGGCAGTACATTTGTGTGGTATGTTCAAGGCCTGGGATAAAGTCCCCAGCATTGCATTTAAAGTCTTAGCTTAAAGATAGCGGAGTCCCAACTCTGCAACCTCATTCCCACCCAAAGCTTCCAGCAGATATGCACTTCTACCCAACGCCCACCAGGAGCTCCTTCCCTTGGTTACAGCAAAAAGGCCAGAACAACTCCTGCAGGCGTGTTATCGCTGCTGGTTAAACCCAACCAACGCTTCTGTCTTGGCTCCCTTCCCAGACCAGCCAACCAGAGCCCTGGTTCCTCAGCTCAGGGGAGCCGCTTCCCCAGACAACCAGAGCCCCACCGCCACCCACAGTACCAAGGGCCAAAAGCTGAGAACTTGGACTTATCCTCACTTGTGTCTGGTCAATTTGGTGGCCAGCAGGGAAACCCAGGGACTCTGGCCAGGCACAACCCTGATCCCCAGCCCTAGCTGTCAGCCAGTGCCAGCCTGTCCACTCGACAGAAAAACACACACTGGCTGCCTGCCCTGGGGTGTTTCCAGAAGAGAAATTTAATCTAATTTACATATTTCTAGGTACATTGATAACCAAAAGATGGCCACTGAAAAAGGTTAAAAGGTCAATTAGCTCCCGGTATCTAGCTGGCCCAGGATTGCAAAATAAAAAGATCCACGTTCCTTATTCTCTACACAAAACGCATTTTTTAAAAAAGTGAAAGATCTAGGGAGCTATACATAGAAAGCAACAGTGAAGAGGGGAGGGTGGTGGGGGTGAGGAGTCCCACCCCTCACTCTACCCTCCCAGCCCTGGAGCCCCTGAGGCTCTGACATGGCAGGAGGCAGCTGTCAGCTCTGAGCTCTTCCAAAATAGGAAGGCCCCTTTTGGGGGGGCAGCCAACAAGAATTTCCGTGGCATTGTGGGCTCAGTGGGGGCTCCCAGGCCCTAGTGGGTTAGCAGAGGGAGCGTGGATTCCCCTGAGCAAGCACCGTGGCGAGATGTGGTCGTTTGACGTAGGAACTGTGGGGGCTAGGGCAGATCCCAGGTCTCACGAGGTGCGCGTGCGTGTATGTTTGCCTGTGCATGAGTGAGAATAGATATTCATGGGGGCAAGAGGGAACAGGGGTCTTTGGGGTCTTTGCAAATGGCCACGGATGGCAGACATAGCCCTGTCTGGTTGCTAGACAGAGGGAAGTGCTATTCTCCCCTGTAACCAGATTGGCCACCACCAAAGGCCTGGCTACTGCCCCTGCTGGACCAACCAGGTGGGCTCAAGGAGGTACCCTTGTGGCCCCAGAGTCCTCAGGTTGGGGAAGGTGGCTAGCTGGCTCCCGGCGCCCAGGTTGTAGTGTGCCCGGCCCCCAAGGGGCGCCGGTTTGAGGTTTTGGCTTGCTCCTTTGGAAACGGAAAAGAAAGAGGGAAACGGGAAGAGGACACAGAGGAGAAACAGGAGGGGACAGGTGGCACAAGAGGGGATCTGGAATGCTTGTTTGTTAGGGCGCCTCTACAGCTGCTGTCTGTGCCTGCGGGGCCTGGGGCTCCTCAGGCGGAGGATCTGCTTTGGAGAAGTTCATCTCCAGAATGTGCCGCTGTAAATGCCGCACCCACTCTTCCTGGATGGAAAGTGGGCCCTGGAATTCCACTTCACAGAACCTGCATAGGAAAACAGAGAAAGCAAATGACCAATGCTTCAAAGAAAGGCAGAAGTGTAATTCAGTGCAAGTGCTTAGGCATATCTACCACTACTCAGTGTAGAAATGTCAAGACCAGGACTCAAGGGAAGAAGTGTCTCCCAATGGACAGTCACCTCTTCTACTGTGGAATAATGGCAGGGTCTGCTGGGCATGAAGTCTTTAATGCTAGGTAAGCAGGGGATTCTCCAAGTGCTTCTGCACCTGATGTGTATGCTCTGAGATGGTGGTGGGTAGAGAGAAGCAAAACCTGTCTAGCTCTCACAAGATCTGTCCTTCTTCTTCGTTATGGTAGCCTTAAGCTAGGCCTCCAATGAACTTGAGCTCTGTGGCTCCAGAGAGTTGGGTTGAAATTCTACTTTTTTTTTTCCCCTTTTGTTTCTTTGGGAGACATGGTCTCTAAGTTTATAGCTCATGCTGCCCAGAAATTATGTAATCCAGCTGGACTTATACTGGTGACAATCTTCTTGTCTCAGCTTCCCAAGTGCTAGATTGATAGGCCTGAATCATCATGCTCAGTTTGGATGCTACTTTTGACTTGGCCTGTATTATATAGCCTGAGTTGAATTACCTCAGGTCTCAAAAGTCCCTATTTGCTGGTGTCTGGTGTGTGTGTATGTGTGTGTGTGTGTGTGTGTGTGTGTGTGTGTGTGTGTGTGTTCATAACTAAGTGTCAGCAAGGTTCTCAGTGCTTTGCTATTAAATTCAATCCTTACAACTCTATCAAGTAGGTCTGTATGAATTGTTTTATTTAAAGAAAGGGTTTTATCTTGTAGCCCTAGCTGGCCAGGACTCCTTACATAGACCAGGCTGGCCTTGAACTCACAGATATGCCTGCCTCTGCTTCCTGAGTACTAGAATTAAAGGTGTGCACCACCATACCAGGTTAGACTCTTTTTAAAGGTGGAAAAATGGAGGCAGGGAGCAAATAAGCTCTTGCCTGAGGTCACCAAGCCGTGGAGTGAGTTAGGACTGAACCCCAAGTCTGGCTGGCTACAAAGCTCAGGGTATTAGGGTGATATTCTGAAGTCCCACTGTCAGTGAGAAGAAGCCCTTAACCTGGGCCCTGCCATACCACAAAACAGCCCATGGGACCCCACCTCCCAACCTGCACAGAGACTGCAACATTTCCAGGCTTCAAATAGCCAAGGCCCAGCTAGGTCTTAGCATACCTGCACTTGAGGGTATAGATGTTGCCCACAAACTTGACCAGTGATGTTTGGGGGGGGCGAGGCACCAGGGAGGGGACTGGCCGGACCCGGGGTGGAGGCTGCCGCACTTCTTCCAGCTTCTGTTGCAGGTCATTGGCCTCCTCACCACCCCTAGCTGCAGAGGCATCTGGGGGGCGGGCTTGTCTGCGTTCAAATTCTAAATCAGAGAGGGATAGGTGATGAACAGGAGGGCTAGGGCTCTGCAGACACCCCTGCTTTCTGTGAGCACAAGGGGGTGGAGGTTGTTGGGACTCAAGACTGGCCACCAATATGCACAGGTAGAATGGCATACTGATAAGGGGAGAGGATTAAGCAACTAAGATACAGTGGTTGAGTGAGCCCTAGAAGGTGCCTACCGCCCTCCCGCCCTCCTCCACCAGCACTCACTATTGATATTCTGCCGTTGGTGCTCCTCTGACTTCACGGTCCCAGGTGGGCTGGTTGCCAGAGGCCGTTCACCACTGTCGGCTGCCCTGCCAGCCTCAGGCCCTGGCTCCCCCCCAGCACTTCGGCCAACCAGGGACAGGCCCCCAGGTGCCAGCCCCAGGGGTGGCCGCTTGTCACTGTCACGACCGTGGCCGGCGCTGCGGAACTTCTTGGTAAAGGGGCGGCCACCCTGGATGTAGCTTCGGTAGGCGCCCACTTTCTGGGGCCGGTGTTTGATCCACTCACTCAGCGTCTCGATGGGAGAGCCGTTGACACACCACTCTGTCACACCGAACTGCCGAAGGTGCGCCCTCGCATGGCTGGCTAGGGCTTTGCGGTTTTCAAAGTAAAGGCCACAGAGCTCACAGCAGGCCTCGGTGGCTACAGACAGAGGAGGTTGCTGTTCTAAGAGTGCAGGCATACCCAGGTAGCCTAAGCAAGGTCAGGAGCTAATCCCACCTCCCACAGGGACCTTGCCTTAGGGGCCCTGCTTGCCCTGACAAATGCCATCCCAAGACCCTACCACCCACTGCTTACAGGAGTGGGAGGTCTTCTCATGCAGAGTCTTTGCCTTGAAGGGCAGTTCAGTCTGGATGTAGGTCTTGGCCTTGACCTCTGCTGGGAGGAAGCGGTCCTCCTGTAGGGGCCGTTTAGTTGCCACTGGGCCCAGGTAGCTGGTAGCTGAGGGCTTGGCCCCTGTGATGGGTGACAGGCTGAGCTCCCGGGGAACCTGGGTTGGCCCAGCTCCTGGTTTTCCAGGCCGGCTAGCCAGGGGTGACAGAGGCAGTGGGGAATGCATAGCCCCAGGAGCTGCTGTGGGGGAGCCATCCTCAGCCAGGGCAGGAGCCAGGTCTCCAGCTGGAGGCTCTTTCTTGATGAGGCACAGCTTGGACTTCTTCTTCAGGATCTCCCGCAGTGTGTCGATGGGTGAGCCATTGACAGACCACTCAGTCACACCCATCTGGCGCAGGTGGGAGCGCGCATGGCTGGACAGGCCTTTGCGGTTCTCGAAGAACTCACCACAGAACTCGCAACGGATGTCACGTACTGGCTCTGCCCTGGATGCTGCAAGGGGTCCAGGGTAGGGAGAAGAGAAGGAAGGAGTGGCTATGGGCAGGAAGCCTCCAAGTTCAAAGTCCAAGGCAATGCCAGCCTTCTGGATGTCCCTATCCATGTGCCCCCTCCCTCCAGACTCCAATGAACTGCTACTTCAGCTAGGCCTTCAGAGTCCATTGAACTGCTACTTCATCTGGGCCTTCGGAGGCACTTCATACATCCAGCCCTTCTATTTGTCTTATTACCTCAAATTCTAGCTGGCTTCACAGGTCTCCCTGAGTGAGGCTGGGCAAGCTACTTCCTCTCTCTGAGCCTGTTTCCTTCTCTGCAAGATGGAGATGAAACCTCATCTCCCAATGTTGCTGGGAGGGTCTAAAATCAGAAGGGTTCAGAGCATGTGGCAGGGAGCTGGCAGATGAGCTCTAAGATGGAGCCTCAGCCACACTTGCCTGCTTATATAGCAGACAATCAACCAAAGAATGAAATAGTGTGACCGAGTGCCAGGGAAGCAAGTAACAGTAACATGATAGCAATTACAACACACAGGGAGATTTTTGCAACCAGGCACCATACTAAGTGCTTTATCACGCTTAATTCTCAAGAAAACTATAGACACAAAGGCAGGGGATTATACGGATTTCCATCTTCCAAATGAGGAAACTTGCCCAACTCACTTACTACTACATTATGATGAAACAGACATCTTGACTCAAATTTGACTCCAAATGTCAAGTACTGGATTACCAGGAATGTTAGGCCATCCCTCTACTCCTGCCAGCGGCAGACATTACTAATGGATCCTTGCAGCTATTCTCCCTGGGAATTTGGTTGGAGGCCACTACCAATTGGCTATACAGGACATTAGATATAATTACATGATTCTGCCTCTTCTGCACGAATAGCAGAAACAAGTGGCAGCTTGGGTACAGGAGTCTAAACAGCAAGTCCTGTGTTCTCTGGACTTACGTATCTTCCATTTCAGTCCTGTGATCTACGGATACTCCTAAGGGGGTGCAGGGAGGAGATCCAGCCAACTGGTCTACCTGCCCTGACATAGGGTCACACTTACACAGGTTCAAGGGTGCCATATCTTCTCGAGGCGTGCCCCAGGGACCCTCAGATGGGTGTGGCTCCCCATGAAGGGTCCCTGGCAGCATCTCCCGCTTGATTTCCACTCTCATTTGTTCAGGCTTCAGTTTCTTGGGCAGGGAGGGAGTAGCAAGGCCTGAGAACATCTTCCGGGCCGTGGGAGGAGGAGAAGCAGTTGGTGAGTGGCCCAGAGGACTGCCTGGTGGCGGTGGCAACTTCTTGGCCAGGGGTGAGATGTGAAGATCCGAGGGACTGCGGGCTTCTAGTGAGCTGCCAGGACCTCCGCTACCCACCACCTTGGTTAGGGCTTTTGGGCTAGGCCCTGGTGGGTGGAGGTGTCCACCTGGCCTGGATTGGGTCCGTCTCTTCAAGATCTCCCGCAGTGTGTCGATGGGTGAGCCATTCACATACCACTCAGTTACACCCATCTGCCGCAGGTGGGAGCGCGCATGGCTGGACAGGCCCTTTCGGTTCTCAAAGAACTCACCACAGAACTCACAGCGGATGTCTCTTGTTGGCTCTGGGCCTGAAGCTGCAGCAGGAAGAAAAAGGGGCAGTTAGAATTGTGAGCATCGTCAGGATAGTTACCTGCAGGAGTATCCTGTCCAGCTAGGCATGGGCAGCCATGTGTCCATAAGCTAGGGTAGTAGTGGAAGGCAGGTGCAAGTGAGGGAGCTGATGGGTGGGGTCAGACACTGGGCAGAGGCATGGGAGGGGAGGGGCGGCTTTAGAGAACTAACAGGACCTCTGTCCTAGCAGAGGGCAGTACCAATACTCCACAGCTTTGTGGGTCCCAACAAGGACAGGGCAGGAGACAGGACGCAGCCAGCCTAGGTACCACATGCTGTCCAGACCCAGGGCACCTTCCACACCAAAAGGTAGGACCTTCCCCTTGGCCTTCATTCTCAGGCAGGGTCATGATGGTAAGAGGTCAAGACCAAGAGAGAAGTACCAGCAGCCCACTGCCAACAAAATCTCTGGGTTGAGCAGGCCCACTGCCAAGGGCCCCTGTCTACTCCCTACGACAACAGGGAGGGAGTAGGGAGGGGGCCATGACCCCCCAGGGAGGGGCTCCAGGGCCCACAGGGAGGAAGGGCAGCTGAAGCGAGAACCTACAGAGGTTGAGAGGAGATGGCTCCACATCAGAGGCCCAGAAAATGCCGGCGGCCGAGAGGTCCTGCTTCCCCCAGGGGATGGCCATACCCGAGGCCTTCAGCTTGGCCTTCTTGGCCGGCGGTGGGGGAGGGAGCAAGGAGAGGGCCGTGGAGGCAGAAGGAGGCCGCCCCAGCTGGGCCAGGGCTCCCCGCCCGGGTGGGAGGCGGATCTGGATGCCGTCCCTCCTGATGAGCCCGTGGAGCACGTCTATGGGGGATCCCTTGGCATCCGGGTCGCTGACGCCCAGGTGGCGCAGGTGGGCACGGGCGTGGCTGGACAGGCCCTTGCGGGTCTCAAACCAGGCACCGCACAGCTGGCAGTCCAGCTCTCTGCCCCCGTCACTATCTAAAGCTGCGGAGACAAAACACAGGGGGGGTTCACGGCCGCCACCTTGGTCGGCCCTAGGGGATGAAGGCAGGAAGGTCTGGTGTGATTTTCAGCTGCCCCAGGTGGTTAGGGGTCCAAGTTTCATGCTGCAGACAGGTTTTTGTTTGTTTTTTAGAGGTTTCAGGTAGCAGGGCAGCCTGTTCTCTGCCTAGCTCATTGGCATCAAGTGAAGGTGGGGAGCTTAAGGATGTAGTTCTGCGACAAATCCTGATGCCCCAGGGCCTCTCCCTTGGGTCTTCTGCTAGGGGAACTATGGGAGAAGACAGAAGGTGAAGAGCAGGGGGCACTACCAGACTACCAAGCACCCCTACCCCTAAAACCACAGCAGATTCAATGCAAGTGGCTGCCAGAAAACATAGGTATCACCAGGCTCTAAAACCTGCCAACATACGGGAAAACATGATGGACACCTCAAAACCTGACTGCTGAACTTGGAGGGTTTCTTCCCAAACACAACTTGCCAAGTGTAAGACAGCCATAGTGGAGGGTCTCTACCTTTGTGCACAAACAGGGAGAAGCCTTGTTACAGATGGCCAAGAGACATGAAAAAAAGGGGCAGTGTAAGGACTTCCCGTCTGGTAGACTACTCATCTACCTGTATGATTCAAAATATCCCAGACTCCCACTAGTCCAGGTCCACAGGCACCCTGGTTACCTTCACCACCCCACCATCAGTCCAGAGAAGGGCAAGTGGCAAGTAGGACCCTAGCAGGCTCAGACCTGTAGCAGGCCTCCAGGGGAAGATCAGCAGAATGGGGGAAAAAATGATCATCTCAGGACAGTCCAATAGGAGACAAAATGAGTGCCTCAATCAGTACTGACCTGGATGACCCAGAAATTGGGAGCTGCAGGCCTCAGTTCCTACCCTGGGTCCTCCTCATCTGAGGACCATGTAACACCCCAGCACCCCCCTCAGCTCCCAGTACCCACACTCACTGAGATTCAGAGGCCCCTCATCCTCAGACTGGGGCCATTGTGCCTTTGGGGAGGTCGGCCGGGGACTCAGGGATAGCTGGGGGCTCTTGTCTTCAGGATTCTTGGGTGTAGGAGATCCTGCCAGAGTGAGTGGGGCCTTCTTGAGGAGTGGAGAGCTGGATGGGTGGGCCAGGCCCTTGGCTGAGAAGCTTGGAGGTGACTTGATGGCTTTGTTAACAGCAGGGGCATCCATAGGTTTGGCCAGGGCGAGCAGGCCAGGCCTGGAGGCCCCAGCAATCAACTCCTTTGGTGAGTTGGACTTCTTGGTCAGGTTAGGGGGCAGCCCAAGGGGAGCGTCAGGCAGGCCCTTCTGCTTCACCAGCTCATAGAGAAGGTCGATGGGAGCACCACTGCTTTCTGACTCTGCAACCCCCAGCTGCCGCAGATGTGAACGTGCGTGGCTGGACAGGCCCTTTCGTGTTTCAAAGCAGGCACCGCAGACCTCACAGGTGGTCAGGCTCTGGGCTGGAGGGTGAGATGGGGGCCAGGATGAAAGGCTATGAGGCCTTGCAGGTACACTAACCCATTCTCTTCTCCTCATCCAGGTTCAAAGTAAGTGTTCTGCTCCTACTAAATCCCTTTAATCCTGACAACAGTTCTAATTTGGTGGGGGTTGGTATTTCTGGTTTGGAAGTAAGGAAACTGAGGCTCAGAGAAGGCAAGAATTATGTTCAAGGGCATATGGCAGAAGGCCGCATCCTCTGTGGTCCAGCCAGTGGGGATGGGATGTCTTTCAGACCTGCAACACACCAGGATGCCCTGGCAGCACACTTACACAAATGTGTGTACACATACACTTACATCACATATGGAGCTATGACCTAACCTACTCTCTGTAACTGGACGCACACTTCAAATGCTAAGTCAGAGGTCCTAGCCTCGGTCCCTGCCCACTCCCCATCTGCTTCTTGACCTCCCTGCCCAACTTCAATGATACAAAGGTGAGGTTGGTTTTGCTCCTCTTAACATACCTAGGAACTAGTAAGATGCTTATCATCACTCTCAACAACCTTGTAGTCTACAGGAAAAACAAATACGTATCATATGAAAGTTCAGAACTAACAAGGTTGGTTAGTGACCTGGGTTTGAGTGTGATCTCTTGCCCACCTTGCCCACTGCTTCCCTGGATGCCCCTTCTTCACCCAGTAAGGCAGTAGCCGAGGACCACACATAACGGCCAAAGCTATAGAAAGTCAATGGAGAAGACAGCTGGGTCGCTATCTCCTTGGTGCCTTATAGTGCTGGAAGGAAGATGAGCGCCAATCTGGGAACCCATGTTAAACGACCAGGCCAGAGACTGCTTCTGTGAGCATGACTATCCCGGCCAGCACACATGCCTTGTCACTTGGGCCACTCACCCTTGAGGTCTGGCAGCTCCTGTTTGCTGCCATGAGGAACCTCTGCAGCCACTTTGCTGCTCAGCCGACTGGCCACCTGTTCCAGGGTCCCAGAGACAGGCAGGGTCTTCTTTGGGAGTAAGGGAGACCCCAAGTCCATGGCCACCATTGTGTTTTCCTCAGAACAAAGGCCTGTGGGGTGGAGGAGACAGGCTCAGCCCAATCAATGGGCTGTCCACCCCAAGAAGAGAACAGAAAGAATAGTACTTCTTCCTCATCCTTGGCATCTGCTCTCACTTCTGGAAGCCACTCATTCCATGAGAGCTGAGGCTGTACCCATAAATCCCCACAGCAGCACAATGCAGAGACACTGAGACTGTCCAATGACAAGAAAGACAAATAGCAGTTTCAGTCCAGCAGAAGGTTCACTGGTCTGAGAACACATTTTGAGCTGAGACTCCTGAGGACATCTTAAGAGAAAATGTCTCTCTGGGTAGAACTTATAAGGGGGTGAAGGTGGGAACAGTCAAAAGAGACAAAGATCAGAGTCGGAGACCAGAGAGGCAAGGCAGAAAAAGCAGGAAGCTGAGGACAGGGAGGAGGAAATCTCCACCAGACAAGGGAGCTAGAGCTTCAAATACAATAGCAAGTCCCAGCAGTAATCTATTCATCATCAGCTGAACTGCAAATGGCTCAAGGTAAGAAGCTGGACCCTGGACCAACTCCGGGACAGCAAGAATGGGAATGACACAAGTTTGCACGAAGTTTCTTAAGCTTCCATCCAGCGAGGCGCCTCCTCGGGTAAGAGGTATGGAGGGAGAAGGAATCAAGGGTAGTTTTCTTAATCTAAGTTTTCATTAAAAAGGGTAGGGATGGGGGAAACTGGGAGGCGATGCAGTCGAATTCTGAACAAGAGCTGAGGATGACGACTATGTGTCAGATGGGCTTCGGAGACGACCGCAGAATGCAATAGGGCAGGGGTTAGGAAGGTCGCTCCCTGCTCAACCTGAGTCCCACAGAGGCAAGAAGACAGGTCAGGAGGCTACCGAGATCATGACACCGAGTACTTTGTCAAAGTCTCCAGGTAGAAGTGGGCGCGTCTGTCAGATGGGGCAGGGCCAAAAGTGGCTTTCCACACTGAGGGGATCGGAACCGTGACAACTGGGAGCTTCTGAGTCTCCAAGAGAGGCAGGGGACTTCTGTCAGAGCCGGCGAGAGTCCTGAGGAGCGGCGGCAGAGTGCTTCCGAAGCCTGGGACTCTCCGGGAGGCTGAGGGAGGCCCAGGGCCCGAGCGCCTGAGGTGGGGGGGCCACAGAGACCGGACGGCCGGTGTTGCGGGAGGCGGCGGCACACGCGGGAGGGACGCCGACTTTCCCCTCCCGGAACCCTCCCCTCCGCCAACTCTTACCCGGCGCGGGCGCGGGCACGGGCCCGGGTCCCGGCTCCGGCTCGGCCTTGGGCCCGTCCCGCGACGGCGGCGGTGGCGGCGGCGGAGGCGGCGGCGCCGGGAGAACCACCGGGCCTGGACTCGGGGGACCTGGCGAGGGCGCCCCCGTGGTCGCGCGCTCCCGGGCGCCCCCCGCGCGCGGCCCCGCCGCCGCCTTGCTCTCCGCTTTTGTCACTCGGCACTGGGCGGTGGAGGCGGCCATCTTGGCTCCGGCGCACGCGGGGCGGCCGCCCCAGGCGAAAGCAGCGGAGCGCCGTGCGCCGCGACCGCCGAGCGTGCTCTGCTCCGCCCCTCCGGGCGCACCCAGGGCAACCTGATGAGCGTCGAGCGCCTCGAGCGAAATGCTCTAGGCGCTGAGGAACCGGCTTGCAAGCTCTTGGGAGCTGCCTGGAGCGCTAGGGCTCATGTACGCAGGCCAAGCTTCCAGCCGCCTCCAGCAGCTGCTCTAGACCGGGATCCGCACATCCCTACGGCTAGAAGGGGAACCCTTCAGCCAATATTAGCATGCAGAATTAGAACCCTGACAGCAGTGCTAACACATGCCTTGAGACCCTGTCCCATTCTTTTGTCTTACTCAAGGCTAACCTTCCAGAACAACCCTGAAAGACACTAGATCCTTGACCACGATGATCCTCCCATCCCCACGTCACCGTGGTATCTATCTAGCTGATCTCGGATAGTGCTGTCCTGCAATCCAAGAAACTCGGTCCCTCCTCACCAACGATTCTAGCACCCCACACTCCTCCCGCCCCAACTTCAAACAAGAGCGTCCAGCTGTTCCTTGACAGATGGGTGGGGCCAGAATCTGACTGCTGCCCCGCCCCCAACCTGATACCCTCCCCTTCTGGCTCACTTGGCAAAAGGGGAAGAGCCTACTAAAAGAACTGCCACGCAGGGCCACTGCCCCAACCTGGCTCTGATTTGGGACACCATTACTTTGCAAAGTTTTTAGGATCGTTTCAGCCACTTCTTAACATCCCCCATCTCCATGTGTTCCCTGAACAGGCCATAACTCTCTCCTCCCTCTAGAGAGCCGAAGCAAAGCTGACTCTGCTTCCTCACACCCAGGGTTTGGGCCAGCTTCCTTTGGGGAGTGACACACTGATTTTTTGGTGGAAATATTTTGGTCATAAGTGAATTTGACTGTTAAGTACTTGGTCTGATCCTTGAGAGTGTCTGGCCCAGATGCCAGATAAATGTGAGCATGATATACAGGCCTGTGTTGGGATAACACAGAAAAAGGGGTCAGAGCTGGAGTTCTCAAAGATTACTTTCTACAGATCCAGACATCCTTAAAGTTGGCTCTACCTTCCAGCCACTCCAGAGACATTATGAACCAAATCAGGTGGAAAAGCTGAATCCCTGGCGAGCAAGCTTTTGCAAAGGCAAGAAGCCCCATGTGCCACTCCTCTTTTCTTTCTGAGGTATGTCTGTGCCTCAATTCCTTTCTTGTTCAAGGAAGAGATGAACTTTTGACATTCCCACCCCATCCTTTACAATTCTCAAGTGCCTTTACTTGGCTTACAGATGGGATGGGTCCAGCCAAGCCCAGAATATACATTTAGGCAGGAGCCTGGAAGCTGTTGGTAGAGGAACCATAGAAGAAAGCCCAGTCCCAGTAACTGCATTAATTCTGCCAGTTTGGAGGTGTTTCATTCCTCAAAGCCAAGGAGTTTGAATTTCATTCAACTACATCTCACAGCTGAGTTCTCTGACCCTCATTTTTGTTTCTTGAGACAGGAGCTCTTCATGTAGCCTTGGCTAATCTAGAACTCACTATGTAGACCAGGCTGGCCTTGAACTCACAGAGATCCATCTGCCTCTGTCTCTGGAGTGCTGGGATTAAAGGTATGCACCACCATGCCCAGCTGAGTTCTCTCCCTTTTAAAAGCTCCCAGAAAGTCAACTTTTACAAGATCAGGTCCTTCACTTTTCCTCTAGTTCTTCTGTGTCCATTCAGCAATCTAACACCAAATATTGATTCTAGATTTCAAGACACTACCAAACAAGATGCTCAGAGTCCAGATCTGCCTATGTATGCCTGGAACAAAGCAAATAATCCACAGTTTCTTTCTAAGATGACTACCAAACAATCCTAAGGCTAGGAGCATAGCTTAGTGGTGAGAACATTTGTCTAACATGCATGAGGCCCAGGGTTCTATGTCCAGCACATCAAAGCAAAATAAGATAATCCTTTGCCCTGCCAGTTTGTTTTTTTGGCAAATCTGAGATCACAGGGGTTGAAATCTTAGTACACACAATTGCCTGAGTATGAGAGGGGTTTGTCAGAGTTGCTGTAAAGAACTGGTTGAATCTAGTTGAATCTAGAGACCGGATTCTACTCTTTTTTTGTAGTGAGTACCTGGAACCAAACTAAGGGTTTTGCCCATGCTAAGCATGTACTCTACCACTGAGCCACATCTCCAGCTAGAATCTAGATTCTAGATCTGTACCATCCACTACAGTAAGATCACCAGTGGCTCAGTACTAGCCATATTTTAAGTGCTCCATAGCCACATGTAGCCAGTAGTGATTTTCCAGGCCAGCACAAGTTGTTAAAGACTATTTCTGGCATCTCACAAAGTTCTATTGGATATAGTGTTCAACATAGGAGATTTTTTTTTCCAGAACAAAGAATTTGCTCTCCAACTACCTGGACTGTAGAGCTTAGCTCTCTCTTGCTATGTAATTCAGGGACGGTAAATTAAGTTCTCTGTGCCTCAGATGCCTCCTCTGTAAAATGGATATGATGAAAACACCCACCTTGATAGGATTGTTGTAAGGAGTTCAAAGGCTTTGTGCTTGTAAAGTGCCATTGCTTCTAGAAAGAACTCACTGAGAAATTGGATTCAGAAAGGGCCATGAACCAGCCCTTGAATAAAACAGAAATTACCTCTATATGGCAAGATACTAATGAGATAATTTGTTAGTATGCTTTTTAAAAAAGTCTGTGTATCCTAGCTCAGTCCTGGAATTTGCCATGCAGCCCAGGCTGGCCCCGATCCTCTTGCCTAAGCCTGAGGGCTAAAATTACAGGCAGATGAAATGCTTCCAGGAAAGCAGAGTGGATACCCTCCAACTCACCCATCCATCCCGCTGTACCTCTGGGGAAGGGTAGGGGCTCCAGTCTGGTCTGTTCCCTCCCCTTACCATCTCCGTAGATTGGCCCAGGGTCCTCAGCCCAGGTGGATGGGAAGGGCACGGTGAGAGGGAAGCGTGGCCGTCGTGAAGTCAGGAAGCTTCCAGGTGGCCCACCAGGCTCACGGCCCAGGGGACTCGGGGGCAACTCAGCTGCTGAGGTGGCCAGCAGCTCCTGCAGGATGTTGATGGGTGAGATGGTAAGCTCCCAGTTGGTGATGCCAAAGTCACGAAGGTGGGCCCGGGCATGACTGGAAAGGCCAGCCCGAGTATCAAAACCAGCCCCACAGAAGTCACATCGCATCAGGCTAAAGGTGCCCGGGTCGAAGTTAGCCACTGCAGAAAAAAGACAGATTTCCTGGGCTGGGGTAGTGGTGAGGGGAGCCACTCTCCATCCCAACCTCTACCTCTTTCCCAGGACTTCTTTCCCCTCTACAGATCACCCTGGAATGCCTGCCTTCCCTTCTGTTGTTGATGCTTCTGCCTGACCTGAAACTTTCAGCTTATGCATCCTCCCCAAACCAGACCCTCCAGGAAGCCTGATTTCTCAGACCCCCTGCTTGCACATCAGGCAGCATTAGGGACATCTTTCTAGAAGAGGCTTCTCTGGGTTTGCAATATGAGAGTACTGGATAGATACCTTTTCCATGTCTACTTTTGCTTGGCATTGCTCCAGTATTATACCTTAAATGTAGGTTGTACAAAGAAATAGACAAGTAGAGGATGGGATGCCCGGGTATGGGAGCCTCTCTGAGCCCTCAAGGTAGAGTTAGGGTTTCTTCTCTCAGATTCTAAGCCCTGGTCACTTGATGTCATAACTTCCTAGTTTCTTAGCTGTCTACCACCTATCCAACACTCTAGCATGTCTCTCTCTCTCCTCTCTCCTGTGTTTGTGTGTGTGTGTGTGTGTGTGTGTGTGTGTGTGTGTGTGTGTGTACTCTCATTCACTCAAACACCACACTAGCACCTTCCCCAAGTGGGCTGTGAACTACCCCGTATCAGAACTACCCAGTTGTTCTCCCTAGAGGCAGCCCTCTGGAATCAGAACCTCTTTTCCTGGAAATCTTCACGATGCACAAGGACCCCTATGTTCTGAAACCCAACAAGAGTCCTTTTACTTGGCTTGGGCCATGAGTTCTAAGAGAGCAGAACTGTTGTCTGGCTCACTGATGGGCCTCTCACGTTCCAGAACAGAGATGACCCAGTTCATTTATTGCATGAAAGGATCAATGGAATTATCTGCCTGGGGCTGACTGCTGCTGTGCCCAAACTCCTTCCTCCAGCTGCCATTGTGACCAGGGCATCCCTGAACATCCACCAACATTTGGTGATGACATTGCCCATGGCTCCCATGTCTCTCATGAGGGGAGGCCCCCAATTTCACCCTTCAGGATGTTAAAGTAGGATTCAGAGTGAGGGTGAGTAAGTTTAGAACTCTGCTGTCCAGCTCTGTGCCTCCCAGGCATGGAGAGAGGGAGATGGGTTCCCAAAGCAAGGCCGATGCCCTACCTTTTTTCTTTTTCTTCTGGAAGGAAAACCTGCGTTCAATGGCCTTCACCTCCTCTGCAGAGATGAAATGCCGAACATTGTAGCTGACACCCACACGGTTCAGGTGGCCTCGGACATGATTGGCCAGCCCGATGCCATTGTGGAAACGATCAGGACAGTAGGGGCATTTCCGTTCCTCATGCTTTAGAGCCATGGCCGTATCCCCTTCTAGGAGTGTGTCCAGACCCAGTGATCCACCCAAAGGTGTATCTAGGAGCAGGAAGTCCAGAGGGTGGGTGCTTCCCAGCCCCAGTTCCTCAGGGGGCAGCTTTGGGGATGCCCGGCTGGCTGCAGCCATGACTTGTGGCCTGAGCTTTGCCACCAGAACAATGGGCACCATTCCTTGGAGCTGCTGCTGCTGATCCTGTGAGGCCTCGACTGCCTGCAGGGCATCTTGGAAAGTCTGCTTCATCTCTAGGGCTGGTTGAGGGATGAGGCTAGGGATGGCTGGGGATGGAAAAGCCCTATTATCAGAAGTGAAATCCATTTCAGAAGTTAGCACTACATCTTCATCTTCCTCCTCCTCCTCCTCCTCCTCCTCCTCCTCCTCCTCCTCCTCCTCCTCTTCACTCCAAGGGCGACTCTTGTCTTCCAGTCTCTGCAGGTGGACAGTGCTTTTGTTTCTATTGAGCTGTATGGAGTAGGAAGCAGATGCCACAGGGGAAGGAAAGGCCAGCTTTCCAAGAGGCCGCTCGCCTGAGTTTAACAGTGGGAAATCTCTCACACCTCGCTGCTGATGGTCTAGGCCAAAGGCTAGGCCCTGGTCATATCCAGCAGGGTTCTCCTGCCACAAAGAGGCCAAGAGAGGCTCAGATTTGCCAAAATAGTCCATGGTAGCAGTATCAGGGAAGTGGATGTATGTATCCTGGCTAGTCCCTGGCTGGCTAGTGAGGTTTGACTCAAAGGTCTCGCCATCCTCCTCCCAGTGGGCATGGGCATGTACGAGCCTTGTGTGCTCCCTGAGCAGACTCTTGCTAGGTGCTGTGAAGTCACAGTAGATGCAGGTACTGAGGCCTGAGGAGTCTCCATAGGAGGGACAGACGAGGGTGCTAACATCTATGACTGGGCTGTCACCCCTGAAAGGTTCCTTGGCCTGCTGGCTGGGCAGTATCTCACGCACATGCAGCTTGGCATGTTGCATGAAGGCTTTAGAGGAATTGGTGCCAAAGACACACTTGGGGCACTGCAGCCGTGCCTCACGGCCCTCATCACCTGGAAATTGCTTCAGTTTTTGGATTTCTTCAATAATCTTCTGCCGGGAAGCCTGGTGTAGTTGCCAGTGCTGCTCCAGGGCAGTAGGCTCTGTGAAGGCCCAGCCACATTCGCTACAGGCCAGTGGAGCGAGGTCAGCCGGAGGCTCCTGGCCTGGTGCTCGGCGGTGCTGGCTCATGTGTTCCAGGAGGTGCTCCTTGTGCTTGAAGTAGATGCTGCACTCAATGCATGGAAACACAGCTGGCTCTTCCTCCTCCTCCTCCTCCTGGCTGTCCACCCCATCAGCTACTTCCTGCAACAGTTCACACAGGGATGGCTCTGTCTGGACTGGGGACAGTAGGGGTTGCAGTCGCTCCACAGATGCTTCAGAGTTCACTGTCCAGGTCTGTGTGGCCACTTCTGAGGCTGATGTGTGGAGGCCCCACTCAGAAGGCTGGGCCAGTCCCCCAAAGTCCTCTAGGTCCTCTCTGGTACCCATAACCTCCATGTCCAGTGTCTTGGGAGTGTCATCCACTGGCACAACTACCCTCCTGAAGGAAGTGACAGTTGGTGGCTGGGCAGGAAGGTCCAGGTGTAACCCTGCATCCTTCAAAGGCCCCTGCTCATCTGCATCTTGGAGCCAGTCAGACTTGTGGTGGCTTGGAGGGTATTTCTCTAAGAACTTCAGTTCACCCTGGTGGTGCAAGAACTTTCTAGAGCCCTTGAGCTTGGCATGGGGTTTCATAGTTCTCACAATAACTGAGTCCTCGAACCTCTGCTCAGACAGGATGCCCTCCCCGGCCTCCTGGACCATGAGGTGCTCCCAAGACCCCTGAACATCAAGGGATGCAGGGAAGGGGCCCAGAAGATGGGGTGGTGGGGAGCCCGGCTGAAAGTCCAGGCTGTCTCCATCCCAGTAGCTGCAAGGAAGTGCCAATGGGGATAGGTTAGCGCGAGCCTCAGCCTCCCTCCCTAGGGCAGTAGTGACAGGGAGTCGTCCCAGGCTGGCTGGAGCAGTTCCTTGAAATCCAGCTTAAGGGTGACTGTGAAGAGGCTGGGAGTAATAGGGTAAAGGTGAGGAAGTCCACGTGGACCTTTCCAGAGGTACTGCATCAAAGCCAGGTTCAACTCTTAGGGTGCACCTGTCCGTACAGCCCAGCCCTGCTGCATCATTGGGGAAATGTGCAGAGACCACAGGTCGGGGGATAGAGCCTCAAGACAGCATCCCCAAATCTGGTGGTACAGTCAACTCTCACCTTTCCCCAGAGAGGGTCCAAGGCTCTGACCTGGGCTCCAGGCTGCTTCTGTCTTGGTCCTCCCCAAACTGTGGCGATTTAGTCACATCGCTCCCCCAAATTTGGTGAAGGTCAACTTTGTGGCAGGACAGCTCAAAGGATGAACCTCCTCCCCTCTTGGAGGGGCAGAGTCAGGAGTGACTAATGGTTCCAGTGACCCTGACCTTCCTGGGTGGGAGATAGGTAGGGCTGGGAGGTCAGAGTAGATGAGGAAAGTGTTCTCTGGGCCTCAGTTTTCCAATCCTAAAAATGGAGATGATTTCCAAGAGTCAGGAATCTGGTCTTCCTTATACAATATCTAAGGAACTTTTCGACAGTTGTCACCAAATGAAAACGATCACACAAGGCAGGTGCTCATTTAAAAGCCTGCCAACCTTTCCCATGGGGATTATGACCCTACAACAAGATATAGTGTAAAGATAGGTATAACTCAAGTGCTTAGGAATCAGGGAACACTTTACCTCACCTGATGCCTGGTAAGCCTTGGGACTGATAGAACTCTTTTCAGGGGGACACAACGTCTTACTATGTAGCCCTGGAACTTATATGTAGTCTAGAACTCATTATGTAGACTAGGCTGGCCTCATACTCACAGAGATCTGCCTGCCTCTGCCTCCCAAGTGCTGGGATTAAAGGTGTAGTCACCATACCAGGTTCTTGTGCTTGCTAGGCAAGCGCTCTACCACTGAGCTAAACCCCAACCCCGGGACTTTTTAATATAAGCATTCCTGATTGGTTCTCTCTTCTTGTCCCCCCAGTGCTGGGAATTAAACATAGGGCCTGGTTCATGTCAGACAAACACTCTACCATAGAACCACATTCCTAGGCCCTCTCCCTTTTTTACAATTTTGAGACAGGAGCTTGTTAAATTATGCTAGAACTCACTCTGTAGTTCAGTCAGGTTTCGAACTCAAGATCCTCTTCTCTCAACCTCTGGAGTAGCTGCAGATTATAGGTCTGTACTACCAGGATGGGCTAGCTTATTTATTTATTTCAGACAGGGTCCCATTATGTACCCCAGGCTGGTATTGGACTCAAGACTGTCCTGTTTTAAACTCCCAGGTTCTGGGAGAGTAGTATGTGCCATTGTGCCCACGTGTACATATACAATATACATACATACACACACATACATATATATAGATATATGTTTTCTTCTTTGAGACAGGGTCTCAGTGATCCACTCTGGCCTTGAATTCACTCTGTAGCAGAGGAGGATCCTGAACTGATTCTCTTGCATCTGCCTCCTGATGCTGGGATTATTGATGTATGGCTCCCTTCATTTTAAGAGTCTGCCTTCACAAGGTGGGGTGGAGGGAGACTGATCACATCCGTGGATCAGGTGAGGAAACAGATAGTACAGACAGGCCAAGTGGAGGCCATAGGGCCACTTCTCTAAGCCCCATTGGTGTCATGCAATATTAAAAGGATGATCCTCTCAACGCAGTAGCAAAGAGTCAGTGGGCTGAACTGAGAGCCAGAACGTAACAGTTATTACTCAGTTCTAGACCTGTTGCTGATCTTGAGGTTAATGTAGTTATACGTTAGACCCAGCAGACTGATAAAGAGTGGCGAGGCTGGGGCTGTAACTCGGGGACAGATGGCAGAGCACTTGCATTGACCTTGTGCGACCTCCCTCCTTTGAGTTTTGTCACTAGCACCACAAACAAACAAACAAACAAACAAACAAACAAACAAACAAAGAATCAGAGTAGTGGCCATTGGGTTGATCCCTGTTCTCTACCGAAGTTCCTTGAGTTCCCAAGGCAAATTTGTGAAACATATCTTGTGGCAGCTTACTTTCCATTTTGCAGATGAGGAAACTGAGGCTCAGAGAGGCACAGCATCAATCTAAGCATCACTTAACAGACAGACTGGACTCCAAGGGTCCAACCTACAGACTTGTCCTTCTCTGGCCTGGCTCCTGGCAGGGGTAATGAGAGTTGACCTTCTGTGTTGCTATCAGACCTCCCCCCTTGCCCCAGCACACACCCAGGGGCTGGTCTATGGGGAGCCACCTCCTCCTGCCTGGCCTCTTGATTCCCTCTTGTCCCCTTTTCATTCCCCAGAGGGCTTCAATGGAGCCTAGACACACCTGCTTGTCCCCCTACCCTACCTGAGGTCAGGGCCAGCGTGGCACTCACCAGCTGCTGATCCGATGGGTGGCGGAGGTGGCACGGGGGAGGGCTTCGCTGAGGCCAGGATGGGGCTGCCCATCTGCAACAGAGAGGGGAGACCCTGAGGGTCTGGGGTCCCCCTGGCCAGGGCCGGGGTTCCCCTGGCCAGGGCCCTCCATACTTCAGCTCCAAGAGCCTTGTGGGATATCTCAGAAGGGCCCTATAGGCCCCCAACCATATCCCTCAGAGGCTTTTGACCTCTGTATCCCCGTACCCTGAAAGGAGGTTCTCTGAAGGAATCCCCTTAGGTCTCCTGGAGGACCCCAGGGACTTGCTGCCTTCCAGTCTTCCCCACATTCAACAACCAGGGTAGTGTTTGTTTTTAAGTCATACCCTGGGAAAACTCATATGCTTCTCATTTTAGCTACAGGAAGAAGCTAGAGTCCTACCTGCCACAATGGCATACACATGAGGGCTGGGTCTTTATTGGTTTCTCCAACTTCATTTGCCTTTCCTGGACCCTTGCTGCTGTGCCCTGATTGCATTCTCCCCCAATTCCCACCCCTATGAAGGTTTGAGTCCTAACTCTCTCTAGTCTCAGCCACCCTCCCGTGTGTGTGTGTGTGTGTGTGTGTGTGTGTATGTGGGTGTGGGTGTGGGTGTGTGGGTGTGTAAGTGTGTAAGACAGGGTCTCTCTATGTAGCCCTGGGTGTCCTGGCACTCGCTCTATAGACCAGGCTGCCCGCTAACTCACTGAGATCCTCCTGCTTCTGTCTCTTGAGTGCTGGGATTAAAGGCGTGCACCACTATGTCCAGCAGCCTCAGGACTTCTGCACTTGGCCCTTCTTGGACTACTTACTCAAATGAGATGTTATGGTTATCTCTCTTTTAACCTAACATTCATTTTTGTGCTACTAAGTTGGATTCTGTTGGTTGGTTTGGTTTTTATTTTATTTTTGTTATTTATTTATTTATTTTCTTTGTGTGTACATGGTCTCATGTAGTTCAGGCTGGCCTTAAATTCAATATGTAGCTGAGGATGACCTTGAACTCCCGATCTGCCTCTACCTTCTAAGTGCTGGAACTAGAGGTGTGTATCACTATGCCTAGTCTTAGTTTTGCTTTTGAGACAAGGTCTTTCTTGGGACCAGTTAACCTCAAAACTTACAATCCTCTTGTCTCTGCCTTCTGAGTGCTGGGATAACAGGCACGAGTCACCACACGTGGCTTTGTTTTGTTTTTGAGACAAATCTTGCTATGAAGCTCCAGTTAGTCTAGAACTCATGATTATAGCCCAAGCTAGCCTCATGTCCGTCCATCCTCCTGTCTCTGCTTTCTGCGTACTGTGATTACGGGCCTGTGCCACTATGCCTGGCATCTGCTTCATTTATTTTTCAGCTCTCCCAGGTATTGCCAGGTTCCCTCTGTGGGTAGCTTCATGTCTGGGTCCCCTGTAAGCACTTAAGCCCCCTGAAAACTGGGACATTTGCAGCCTTGTTCATGGCAGCATTCCAGCACCTGGCATGCAAGTACTAAACAAACACATGCCAGTTGAGTGGGGAGCCTGGCCACCCTGAGCCACGTGTGGCCCATGCCTGCCTTCTGGACCCTTTTCCAGGCCTAAATCCTAGAATGGAATCCCTCCTTGGGAATGCCCACCACCCCACAACAACACAGATAGAGCCAACTCTCCATTATCCGCCTGTAGAGCCAATGCCTGGAACCACCACAGGAATCCTGGCCTGCGCTTCTACCCGCCACGCTTGCCTGACATGCCAAGCATGCCAAGCAGGGAGGAAGCCAATTGCCTGGGCCAAGGTTAACACGCTGGGGGAACTTGTGCCCTGGCCAGGGCCTGACAGATGCAATTGCTGGATCCACCTCAATTTGAGGATGGTCCAGAAAGGGCGAGGCTGGCACAGATTCTTCCAATCCCCCACCATCCAATTTTCCCTGGGAATTGAAAGCTGACTACTGGGGATAAAAGAATGAAAATGAGGGGGTGGTCAGGAAGGTGTGGTCTGTCTGCTGAGCCTGACAAAAGGGGTTGTAACAATGGCATGGCCTCTCAAATGTGGGGCAGGGGCACAAAAATTTGCATATCAAGAGCAGAGTGGCTTTAGTCTTGACACTTGGACAGGGTCCTTCTCTGGGCTGAGGCAGTCCTGCACCACCGTGGGATGATCAACAATGTTCTTGGCCTCTACCTGCCCACAAGACACTAATACCTACCTATTCTGCAATCATGTCATCCGAAAATGTCTCCACACATTCCTAAAGTGTCCCCTGTGGGACCTGAGTGTCCCCATTTGAGAACCATGGAGGTGGACCCACAGGGAGCAGGATATTCTTGGATTTAAGGGCTGAAGTTATGATGGGGTGCTAGAGAGGAAAGTGGGGGCTAGGAAAACAACCATAAGAAACAGGGTCTTTCCTGGACATGTCACAGATGAGAGCTAATCAGGAGAGGGTGACCAATTAGTGGTTAACCAGCCCCAGCACAGTCTAGAGATGTGGGTCTGAGGGTCCCAAGTGTCCTGTTTCTGAAATTCTGAGTGTCCCAGATTTGATGGCTATGCGCAATGGCTGTTGTCTAAGAATTCCATGAGCCAGGGGGGCACAGTGGCCTCTTTGTGTGAGCAGCTCCAACGAGACTCCTATTTTTAGTGGCAGCAACTGTGGAGGAAGGAGACCAAGTAGGACCTACATCTGAGACACCTTGGAGGTGAGGCCTTTGCCCAGACACCTCCACAATGAAGGGGATCCAGAAGTCCCTGTGGGTCAGATGAGGCACCTGGGGTGCAACTCTGAGTCAGTGGCAGTGCCAGAATCCCTTACTGGCTCCTGCCACGTGGGGTCCCCGAGACAGCTTACAAATCAGAGGAAAGGTGTCCATGAGCCACTTAAACTCTAAGTCAGGCATCCTGCAGCTTGGCAGAGTAGCCAAGAATCTATGCTTTGACGTCAGACAGCTCCAAGTGCAAGGCCCAGCAGCATGACCAGAAGTTGCCTTCCAGGCTCCAAGCCTCGGTTTCCTCCTCAGTACCATGCAAACAGCCATGAACCCAGCTTCAAGGGGCCACTGGTGAGGGCCAATGAGATCACAGGAAGAATTCCATCCAGAGAAACAGCGATGGGGGAAGGAGGAGGTGTGTGTTCTGTGGTGTCAAGGTTGGCTTGATGATGTCCTGGGGTGGAAGCTGGAGGCTAGACTTGTAACCTCAGGCTTGCTTTCTCCGTGCTCTGATTCATTCCCTCCATGAATCCAGAAATGACACATTCTTGGTTCCCAGGACTCCTGTCCCCCAAACAAATGGCAGGCATGCACCAGACTCTTCACTGATCTGAGTGGAACATGTAAGTCCCACAAGACTTTGCTGCACCTGCGAAGCCCACCTCAGAGGTATATGGGACTGCAATGGGGCTTTGGGCAGGGTCCCAACTGATAGCCATAATGGACGACAGAGCGGGAACTGGGCATATCCTTGTCCAGGCAGAGAAGTTTGGGGTGCCATTCTTGGGAGTCCTTGAGGAGCTCTGAGGGCTTCATGGGGATGAGGGAGTGCCCAGGGTTCAGGATGGAATAGCAGCCTGTTCCTATTTATAGACATCACAAGACTCCCAGAGGACAAGCGTCTAGTCTACGAAGGTGGGGGGTGGGGGTCAAGCAAGCTGAGAGGGCAGAGGGAGAGACATCCAGGCCTTCATCTAACATGTATGATCCTGCTTCAGCCACCCCCACCTATGCTCCCATTTGCTCAGGGAACCCATTAAGGATGGGTTTGGTTCTCCTTGGTGGCCACTTTCTCCTCCTACCTAGGCTGTGAAATAGGTACACACACGAATCCCTGGTTGCTCTCCAGTCGGAGTATGGGGTGGTAAAGATACACACTTACCTACCTACCTACCTACCTACCTACCTACCTACCTACCTTCCCCATCTCTCCAGCCTGGGTCATATGCCACATGGAGAATAAATGCCCAGTCCCTTGGAAGCTACAGATTTCTTAAATTCCCACAGAGTCAAGACCCCAGCCCTGCCTGGGCTAGCTGTGTGACTTGGGATAAAGTCCTGCTGCTCTCTGGGTCCCGAGGAGGAGGCAGCTCAGGGATAACCCTCTGCCCTCAGGATTTGTTACCCACCATCCCCCTGTTGCCTCACACTGGCAAGTGCCAGCAGTCCCCTCCAAACCTTTACAAGTCAGGGCTCTCTGTCTAGATAACTTCTGCCTCTTCCTCAGGTTGCTTCCTCCTCATTCTGCTTCTTGGTTTGTGTTTATCTTCCCTGCCCCAGATAAAGGGGTCCATGACAGCAGGGATGGCGTGTGCCTAGACCCCTCTCTACTTGACTCTATGAAGGTAGGTTCATAAATCCCTGAGCATCATAAGAAGTACTGTTGGGCAGATCAAGGAGCTTCAAAAGTACAGACGGGGGGCTATGGATAAAGGGATCTGGGAACGTGGCTGAGTGGAAGAGTGCTTCCCTAACTTGTTGGGACAACAAAACACAAGAAAGAAAACAGAAAGGAGAAAAAAAGAAGAAAAATTACTCAAAAACTAAAAAAGAAGCCAGGCATGGTGGTACACAACTCTAAAATGCCAGCACTCGGGAGGCAGAAGCAGGCAGATTTCTCAGTTCAAGGCCAGCCTGGTCTACAGAGTGAGTTCAGGACAGCCAGGGGTACAGAGAAAGCCTGTCTCAAGAAACAAAAACAAAAATAATAACAAATCTAAAAAAAAAAAAAGAGGGACTGGAGAGACGCCTCAACGTTTAAGAGCTCTGCTTGCTTTTCCAGAGGACTCAGCATCCACATGGCAACTCACAACTGCCTGTAACTCCAATCCCAAGGGATCTGACTCCCTCTTCTGGCCTCTGCAGGCACTGCATGCAGGAGATGCACAGACATACACGTAGACACAAAGCATACATACATATAAAATAATAATAATGGAAAAAACCAAAAACTTAAAAAGAGGAGGCCCAGTGGCTCAGTAGTGTCTGTAACTCCAGCTCTAGGTAGCTAATGCCCCTGGCCTCTGCAGGCACCAGCAATCCTGAACCACATATCCACATGCATACTTTCATACCATTAAAAAAATATAAAAAAATAAGATGAGGCTTGAAAATGTTGATTAGTGGTAGAGTGCTTGCTTAACAAGGAGACTGCACAAAACAAAACACAAGGAGAAAGAAAGAACAACTGGATGAAAGAGAAGTTATTTAAAAATTAAAGAAGGGCTGGGATGGAGCTGGGTGGAACAGCATTTGCAGAGTGTGCAAGGGCCTAGGTGCAATCCCCAGTTCTACAAAAAATAAAAATAAAAATAAAGAAGGAGGAGGGTTGCGAGGCCACATTACTGCCTGACCCTGTGACTCTGTGACTCTGGGATGCTGACTTCACCCCTTCAGGTCTTGGATTCACCATTTCTAGTATGAGATAATGAATAACTGAGGCTATCTCTACAAAGGTCACACAAAGAATTGGGCATATAGGAACCACCAAAGAGGTGCTTGGAAGTTCTTGGGAGCCAGAGTTTTTTGGGGAAAACCAAGGAGATGAAGGGAGAAGTATTCCCCAGTCACATCAGATTCCCGTTAGGTCCTTAAGCATGCCAGGCTCCTTCCCTCCACAGGCCTTTGCACTAACTGCTCCCACCACCCGGTGGGCATTTCCCACCATTCATTTCCTGCTCTACCTCAAATAGCACTTCCTCAGGAGTCTTTTCCCAGGTCCCCCAGGCATGATCCTGGCACTCTGTTTAATATCTGCATAGCCTCAGTCATCACCTCCCTGTATGACCTTTGTTCAACGGTTTGTTGTCCATCTTCCCTTCTAGAATACGAACCCTAGAGGACATGATTATTTTCCCCAGCACCCAGAACAGAAACTGGCACACAGCCGGTGCTCAGTATTTAATGAACGAATAACAATGTGTGAGGTAGGGACAGTGTGAGCTACCCTTGTACTGGTAGACCAAGGTAGAAAGGGGTGACATGCGTCTCTAACTCCCTAGTCTTTACCTTACCACTAGAGGGCACAAGCTGTTTTGGCCCATGGCTCAGGAGCTACACCCCATCAAGACTGCAAGAAGGAGCTGAGTGAGCTACACTGATGGGAATGGGTGGCCACCGAGGAACAAGTGGGCTTTGTGCAAAGAGCTCGGGATGCTGGTATGGGTATTTGGATACAGCTGTTGTCTATCTAGCTCCGAAGGAGGGAGCCAGGCCACTCCAAGTATGGATCCTAGTTCCTCAGGGCAACTGTGAGGGCTCACAGAGGCATCTGTTTTCATAAGGGCAAAATAAAAATCTAAGCAGAGCACCTAGAGAAGGCTCTGGATATGGAGCAGAATTTGAATCTCAACTCAGCCCTTTCTGAACTGGGTTACCTGGCTTTCTCTGAGCCTTGGGGACTAAGTGGGATGCTTCCTTAGGGCCACAGAGCCCTCTTACCAGAAATGCCACTTCGGCCATCCAGAACGTCTCGGGGTCCTTCCTTCGTGATTGGTAGGTAATGAGCAGATCGAAAAATATCACCTTCCCCCTCAGCAGCTTCAGCCCCACCCTCGATGTCCTCTCTTGGAGCTGGGCCAGGCAGTCTCTCTGGGCCTCGAGGATGATCTGGGGCAGCAAGGCCACCTGCCAGTAACCCCTCCATGGGTGCTAGCTGCGGATCTTCACTGAGTACCTGGCAGATTCAGCAGGACATTGTGGGCCTGGGGACAAAGAAAGGGAAGACCTTAGGAGAGGCAAGAAAGGAATTCTGTCTCAGGTTCCCCCTCTCTCAACACCTCAGTCCTCACCTTCGAGGCCTATTGCCTCAGTTTACCTCTCAGTTGAAGTGAGGGAGGTGTTGAGGCCCATTCACATCTATCATAACCCAATCACCTCCACTATCAGCAAGCTTCAGCACACCAAACCTTTCTCTTTCCCCAGCTTCTTCACAGCCTCCATTTATCTCACTTACACATGCACACTCAAGTCACCTCAGTCTTCCCTCGTTAATCCTTCTACCTTCCCCTATTCCTCCCACTGCTCACTCACAGCTTCACCTTTTCCAGCCGCTTCCTGGCTTTCCTGGAGCTGCACAACCTACAGAACCATGCCTCCAGTTTACAGGATCCCAGCCACTTCCACGCTCCCAGCTCATGAACGCACTGTCTCAAGAAACCCATCTTTGCCCTCATACTTTCCTCACTTCTGCTGCCCCATACCAATTACCCCTACACTTTTCCCACACTCGGACCCTTCTCCCTAGCAGGGTAATCCAGAGTTCACACCTTAACCTCTCCACAGTCTCAAGTGGCCCCACTATTAACCCTTTCCCTTCTCCTCAGCATGATCTCTCATGCATACCAAGCCTGGGCTCCTCCACCCTGCCACCTTCCAATAATATTGGTTGCATCCTCCACCGATATTGGTTGCTCTGGCCGGAGAATGAAAGGGACCGATGGGGCTCCTGTTTCAGAAATAAGGACCCTGGGGGGAGGGGGGCTGGCTGTCCTCTCCACCTATAAATACCTTCAAGGTAGAGCAGAAAGTGAAGGGCAGGAATGAGGCGCTCTCCCCAGGGAGATGGTGGTGAGGCCGGGCCCAGGCAACCGGGGCGGGGCCGGGTCTCCAGGCCTGGTAGCAGGCGTTGCCCTCGGGGGCCTGGGTGCTCCCGGGGGGCCTATACGGGGTGGGTTGACAGTCCTGGCAGGAGGGGTCCCTGCCCAGGCCTGGAGAAAGCACCTGCGGGTGCCCACTGGGGTGGGCACTGCCGGCGGGGATCGGGCAGGACCGCAACTTCGGAGCACTTTGGCAGCTTGGGGAGGGGGCTCCGGTCCAGATGGTCGTTCCCCACCCTACCCGCCGCAGGGGTCTCAGAGGTAGGGGTGGCGCTGCGCGGACGCACCCTGCGGGGGAGCTAGGGTCCCGAGAATGCGCCCTTCGCCCGTGCACCTCGGGGCGGGAGACCCCGCGGGACGAGCCGAGGTGTGGGGGGGAAGACACCTGCCTTGAGACCCCCCGCCCCTCCCCCCACCTGTACGGCCCCGCCCCCGACCAGGCCCCGCCCCTGTAGGCCCCGCCCCGCCCCCCGCCCCGGGGGTCCCACCCGGCCCGGCCGGGCCCAGGCCACCCCTTCCTCGCTCCAGCTCCGCCCCGCCCGCGGGCTTCCCAGGCTGGGTCTGGCCTCACCCGGGAGGCGTCGCCGCCGGCTGGGAACTCCCCTCCTTTGCGCGGCCGTCGCTGCCGCTACAGCTGCTGCCGCTCTGGGTGCCGGTGCCACGGCCTCCGCAGCTGCCGCTGCCTCCACTGCTCGGGGGACATTGTCCCTTTAAATCGCTCCCCCCGCCGCCCCGCCCCCCCGGCGCGCCGCCGTGACCTCAGCGCGACAGCCCCGCCGCGCCGCCATGATGAGGAGGTCTGCCCCCCCTTGTGCCACTCCGGGGGGGGGGGGTCCAACGGGCGCGCCGCCATATTGGGAGTGGCCAAGCAGGCCACCCTTAAAGGGTCCGCAGGACCTGAGCGTCTAGGGAGGGGCTCTGTTGCCATAACAACATCTTCCTGCACCCCACTGGTTCTTCCTATACTAGGTTGGTTAGTAACACCAGATGAGTGGGAAGGAAGCAGAGAAGTTTTCCTTTGGGTCATTCTTAGATCATTGAGGACTCCACCCAGTCAGTCCTTAGCTTCAAGTCTCTTCCAATCACATGGTCACTGGTCTTTCTTCATTGTTTACATTGGACTTCAACATCTCCAAGACCCTAGAACTACTTGATGTCTGTCACGAATGCTAAGCTCTCCTTCACTTAGTCTTAAGATCTCAACCTCCAGACTAGCTCTTGTATACACATCACAAGCTTTCTCCCATTCATCACCATTTGTCCACCCGTTTATCCACATGCTCAATCCATCAACCACTCAACAACCCAATGAACAAATCACCTATCCATTCATGCCTCTAAACACTTACTATCTATCCAAAAACTCACTTAACCTATCCACCCATATCCCATATACAGGGCCATTGCTTCAGCAACCAAGTATCTATTTATCCATATAATAAAAGGATTCAACAATCCGTCTAACATCCACCCATCAATTGCATATTCATCTTCTCCAAGTGACGAAGACAGGAGTTCATGTTTATTTACTTTATTATCTTCCCATGGCTCATTTGGGAATCCCAAAAGACCTCAATAAATGTGAGATATGTATGTGTATGTACATTTGATTACTCATTAGTTCAAGTATTAATTTCCTATAGTGAGTCATTCTTCTCTAAGTAGACCTATCCATTATGATTAGTGACCTGCCTTAAACATCTACCAAGTCAAACATTCAGTGAATGCTAACCTAGTCATCTGTCTATTGTTTCATCTACCTTCCCTTTTATCCATGAGTCAAATACCTGTGCATTTACTCAACCAGCCACAGAATGCAACTGTATTCTCCCCTTACATTCTCTTACTTCATTTGCCTCTCAGACACATGCCCTCCCTGCCTGGACTGTGATTTGAAATCTAGAAAGATTCAGTCACTTGGGACCTGAGATACTGATAGAGGATGAGGTGGCATAGGAGGGTGGGAGATCTGTGCTTCACTGAAAAGCAGGCATTTCCCATAACAACGATTAATACCTTTTATTGAACACCTTTAACAAAGAGTTGTCTACTACGTAGAGAATTTTAGATACATTTTACAGATGAGAGAATGGAATCTCCTGGAGTGATGGCCTAGATCACAGCAATGGAAAGAGTCTGTTTATTACTTCCATCTTTGAGGAACTTTAAATTAGGTAAGAATTTGGGAGAGCCGAATGGAGAACTGGGTGTGCTCTCCGACTAATCATTTGTAGGGGTAGAAAAGCCAGTGATTTTACTGAAATAGAGATTTATTGGGCAACCTCACAGTATCAGAGTGATTGGCACCTCCCACCCTGTCCCCCACTAACAGCCATGAAGGCTGAGGCAGAGGCATACAACCCTCTGTAGTGGCTCGCTTAGCTTCCAGACCACGTGGCGTGGAATGAGAGCTCAAGTGCCCATTGACAGCTCAGCTCCATTGACACATGGCGTTTTGAGAGGCAGGGGCTGGCTCCAGGACCCTGGTGTCCTTGAAAGAAGCTGCAGACTGTGGAGGGTATCCTTCAGCTGGTCCTGAGTACATTCCATCTCAGTCAGACGGTGCTCCTGGGAAGGCAGTGGAAATGGGCTTGGAGTCAAGGTGGGGGTGTTCACCAAACGGACTCCCCACTCCCCTCCAGTCTCAGGCAAGAGTCTCACCAGACTTTTTAGCCTGTGGCTTCCGTTGCTTGGAAGACCACCCTCAGAATCCAACTTTGAGATCCTGTGGGGGTCAGAGGCAAGAGAGGGGGCAGGTCAAAAGCTGAGAAACTCCCTTCTATCCAGGGTGGACAGCCAGGGATCCAGTGGTTGGGGCTTGTTCAGATTAGAGAACAGGGGGTGTCTGAAGGAGGGTCTTGGCAAAGACTAGCCAAGTATAGTGGTGTAACCCTGTAACTTCAGCACTGAGGGGGCTGAGGCAAGAGGATGGAGGGTTCGTGGTTAGCTTGGGCTACATAGCTAAATCCTGCTTCACAGAAGGAAAAAAGGAAGGAGGGAAAAAGATGGAAGGATTAATCAATCGCCATTTGAAGGCAGAGACTGACCAATGGACGAGAAGGGCCGAGATGGTCCAATCCGGTTAGGAGGGGCTGGTTGAAGGGGTGTGAGTAAAATGACCAGCCAAAGACAGGTGTGAGATAGGTCCGGCAGTATGTGCAGGGGCCTGGGGTGGTAACTTGGAGGTTGCTCATCTACGGAATGGAGCTGTTAGGACCTGGGGGCGGGCTTAGGCGGGGAGGGACTTTCTGGGTGAGATCTGGCTGGCCCTGTCAAAGAGGCAGGGATCTGAGCTACAGGGAAGGGCGGGACTCACCCAGCTCCCAGTCTGGAGTCCAGGTCCTGCAGCTGACAGCGCAGCTGCTCCTGCTGCTCCGTCAAGGCCTGGATGTGGGTACTCAGCGACTCCACCAGACGGGACAGAGCTTTCTGTTCCTCGCGGAGTGCAGCTACCTCGCACTGTATCTCTGCTAGCTATGGAAAGATAGCAGCTGTAATCCGACCCATCCTCGGGTCCCATCCTCATTTTATCATTTTTCTACTCTGTTAGCGAATTTGTTGGGCGGGGAAAACAGTCTCAGAGTCGGTTAGATGAGTCCTAAGGTCCTTTTTTAGTTCCGTTTCTACCCGCGGCCCGCCCCACTCCCAGGCTAAGATTTGGGCCGGATGTCACCTTGCCCACTGGTCGGTGAGTTCCCAAAGCTTGGTATCGGTCCCCGGGCTGGTCCAGCTGGCGCTGCCATGGCACCGATGGCTTCCGAGGCAGCGATGCAGAAGCTCCAGTCCAGGCCCGTCGGCATGGCGCTGGGCCAGTGCGGAGTGAGTCTTTGAGTCTCGGCCTGGGACCTGCAGAAGGGCGGCGGCGGGCAGGCCGCCTGGCAGGGACGCTCTGTGTGCGCTGCACTGGCCGAGGCCGCCTCTGGGACCGTTCCTCATCTGGACGCCGACGGGCCCAGCTCCCTGCCCCTTGAAAGCTGCGCAGAGATTGGCTCTTGGAAATGAGAGGGGTGTGCTTGGGGAGGTCTCGGGGTGCCAGGAAACCGGGTTTCTCCCCTGAAGAGAAGCTGGAGGTGGGATGCGGAAGTTCAGACCCTCAGTTGGCCCCGGAGATAACTCTAAATGACCCCCCTTTTTACACCAGTATATCTCTATCTCTTAGGACCACACTTTGACCCATGACTTTGATGAGACGCTGTCCTTAACTTCTGACTACCATCCCACTCTAATCTTTTCTCCCTCCCCAGCTTTGGCTCTGACTTCTGACCTTGACCTGACCCTTTCCGTAACTCTGATCCCAGTCTGACCCTGGCATCGACCTCTGCTCACAAGGGTATCCACTTTCTTCCCAATTGACCCTATCTTCTTCCCAACCTCTGGGCTTGAACTGACCCTGTTCTTGCTTTTTGATAGAAAATGGTGTCTAACCTGGAACCCCATAACTAGTCCTATTTGTCCTAAGCCCGAAGCTTGACCTTTGCTCCTCTGACCTTTGCAACATCATGTCTCCACCTGACCCCTGATTTGACCCCATCCACAACCCCACAAAGCTACCTTCCCTCACCCTGGCGGTGACCCTTTCCTGACCTCTGACATGACTCTGTCCCAATCTTGGACTCTATCTGATTCTGTGAATATTTACCCTTTGACCACACAGTGGGCCACTCCTCTGCCTGTCTTTTTACATGATGCCATCCCCAGCTTCTGACCTCTGACCCCAACATGATCCTGCTCCTGGCATTATTCATCTTAACATAGGGACCCCTCCTGCCACCCATGAGAACCCAGGCCAGACTTGAGGTTACCTGGCATGGACCTGGGTGCGGATGCGGGGAAGACGCATTGGCACAGACACTGGAACAGGCCGGCCCTCTTCGATGGCTCGAAGTATGGTGGGCAGTGGTTCCAAGCTATCTTGGGTTGTCTGTCAAGGCAGGCAAGGAAGATGTCCTGTGAACTCTCTGGCACCAATGCCTCCCAGCCTTTTTGCCTTTTTGCCCTGCATCCAGGGTTCTGGGTTCAGGCCACACCTGGTCAAGTTCAGCAAAGATTGTGCAGAGTTGGACATGAAGAACTGCCAACTGGAGGGCCAGGTCTCCACTGCCCTGGTAGCCCCTGGGTGTGGCATTTGCGTCCACCACGGCCACCTGGTCCAAGAAGTGTTGCATGGCTGGTCCGTGATCTTCCAGGAAGCTATTCATAAAGGCCATGTAGGCTTCCTTCTCACCAAACCTGAGTTGGAGCCAAACTGGTTGAGTCATGACAGGCACCTGCCAACCCCCTACTCCCCGATCCCATTATTGCCCCACATTCTCCCAGCACCTACGGAGCACGGTTGGCAAGATTCTGGATAACCTTGGCGATCAGTGTAAGAGTTCGGGCTGGGCCTGGGGCCGGGT